GAAGCAAATGCTTTCAAAACCACGACACTTTCAGCTACTCTTGAGGCTCAGGAAATGTGTGATGGTCTTCCCACATTCTCGGGAAAAAGTCCTAGAAAGCCAGTGATCCTTCTTTTCTGTGCCCTTTTGATTTTACTAGATTAGGGCCCCTGGGTCCTAAATTACTGAATTGGCACTATCTTTAAAGGTGAGCCAGGGAGTGCTGTCCACTGTTTATGGTACTGCCTTTTATGGGATGCTTAAAGAACAAGGAAGTAGGGCTTAGCTGCTGGGATAAAGAGACACCTTTTCATTACTATAAATAAAGACAAAGAACACGTGTAAGATACTCTGTGAGTCAGTTCTAGCAGAGACACTTCTTGTCTATGTCCCTGTAAAACTCAGCTTTAGTGACTGAGTGAGACAGCCTGAATTTCTTCTGCCCCTTTGAAACACTTCCAGATATCAGGTGACTTCATATGTTAACAAAACACTCAGGATTAAATGATACTGACCCACATGAAAGGCTAAAGAAGTCAAGAATGTAATCCATTTAGTCTCTTGATAGATGGAATTTTCCTCTTGCAAGACTTAAGTGAAATAAGGTAAAAAGAATAAAGGTTAAAAGACATTCATGTGCAGCCATTTGTGTAAGAGATGGTGAGTGGTAGCCATAGGTACAATTCATAGAACTCAAATGCACTCTTATGTAAAGCACTATCTCATCAACTAAACTCTCTATTTGTGGCCATGTTGATTTATTAGAAGCAAATGCTTTCAAAACCACGACACTTTCAGCTACTCTTGAGGCAACAGGAAAGTCGGTGTAGGGAGCACCACCGGGGATGGGGGTGGCTTCACCCCCTATGGCTGGTAAACCACAGGAGCAATACATTTATCCCTCATGTTCATTTTCTAATGTGATGTGGAGCCAGCCAATGTGATTTTTGCATGATTCCAGAGATACTAAAATTTTGGTAGCTTAGATTTAATTCTTTGAATCTAAGGAGTGTGTGTGTGTGTGTGTGTGTGTGTGTGAATTTACTGCCACTAAGTTCAGGGATAAAATGAGTTCCTCTGGGTATAGAATCTTTGTGTGCAGTAACTCCCTGCTCTAGAGCACTTCCCATGGTTTCGGCCCATTAAGCGGAGCACAACAGCTTGATGAATTAATGCTTATATAGGCACAGTTGGCAGCTTCTAATTAAATAATTATGGCTAAGCAGCTGCACGGAAGCTGTTATGCACCCTAGAAAGCCAGCTGTCAGTTTTATTGGTCCTAAGACAGAGGAAGAGTTAATACCTAGCTTTGGATGTTGGGTACAAAAGGGAAGTCTATGATTCGCAAAATGCATAGTTTGCATGAAACTCCTGCACACTGTGCTCTCCTATCCATAGACATATGGAGAGCAAACTGCTCTTCAACATCCCAACAAAAGAAGCATCAATTATGTGATCAGGCGACCGGGACATCTCCAGATTTTAAAGAGGGCATAGTGTCAAACAGAAAAGTCCTTGGTGAACATAGAAGCAACAGACACCACATGCATCAATTAGGCAGATAATTGACGAAAAGCCAAGTGTGCAAACCTGCACTGGAACGAAAGCACATTTCCCCCAAACATTTGAAGAAAGTATATGTTCTACAGGACCATAGACAGAGCCAGCTCCTTCACAGAAGGCTTAAAATCTAGAATCTTGTATCTGTGTCCACGGGAACTTTGCCAGACAGAAGAAAGTGGTATTGGTTGATTAAGCTCCCACCTAAAGAAAGATATTGATTACAAAAGCCACAATTAGAGCCACTAGACCAAATCAGGTGCATAACAGCTTCCGTGCAGCTATTCCATACACATAAGTAAGCTCCAGGGACTGGTTTAATTTCCTCTTCATGGAATCCAGACACATCCTCAGTACTGAATAGAGATGTGATGACCCAGTTTGGAGAAACTCTGTGTCCCATTGGCTTCTCTATCTGTACCAACTCCAAGTGGAGAAAAGCAACTATAGGCAAAAGCCTGGTCCAATAAACTTGATCTTCTCTTTATGTCTTTTTCTTTATATTTAAACAAATATAGACATCTTGATCTTGAGTTCTGACATTGCTTTAAAACCCACAGAAGGAAATGGATGCTAGCACTTAGAACACAGTTCTTCTGGAATGAACTCAACACCCAAACCCAAATCTTGTTGAAAATCAGCAGTTAAATCAAGCACCGAACCGTATAGGCCGATTTACTGTTCTTCTTCCAAAGACCAATGGCTTGTATTTTAGAACACCCTTCCATATAAAAAAAGCTGTCCGCACCATAAGTCTCCATTTAAGCCAAAGGACAGACATAGAGAACCCTACTTGATGGCTCTGACAATCACCTCAAATACACAAACTAATTTATTTATTTTTTTATATCAGGAATACAATCACCTTGGTATGTGAGGTGTTGGCAATTCTCAGGGATCTAGCTCCTTCTAAGTGGGTCTTAAACAAAGTTCACTTCATTAAGCCTGCAATGCAACTCCAGCCTCAGTAGAAAAGGTTAAAGAACCAGACAACAGATTTGCAAGGTCCATAAAAGTAAATTTCAGACCTGGGGAAAACAGGGTGCTTTTCAGCAGTCTGTACTGCCATCTAGCCAAGACCACATCACTCTGTACACTGTCCATTTGTGTTCTAAAAGCCACTAATGAAAGCAAGCCTGCAGCAATCAGCTTAACAGACCCCAAGAGTTTAGCTGAAAGGATTGGCAGTAGTCCTTCATTCTGACTCTGCAAAACTCCAAGCCCTATGAACCAACAGCCAAATGGTAATGAGCGATCTCACCTTCACAAATCAATACGTGGAGAAAGTCCTAAGTGCTCGTTTAGGGACTATTCCAACATCATCTGTCCCTTCTGATCTTTGAAGTCTCTGGCTATCCTGTAACCTCAATGGAAGAAAAACAGAAAATTCCTCTGGCATAAAAGGACCCCCATAATGCATAAAAGAACTGAATTGTAGCATCTAAGACTCTACCTACAGTTTTACCATAACTTCCATCCCAAACCAGTATCCTTAGATACTAACAGAACGCGAGACCATATACATCTGTGAAAAGAAATGGTATACATAAAAATGAACAGAAATGTTCCTACTTACGATAGAAGACGTACTCCGTATAGCTCGACCAGATCTTGTCTTCTGTGTACTGGTTGACAAAAGACGCTGTCACCGAGGAGTTACAGGCCACCATGTGGAATCCACACTCTGACAACATATCAAAAGCTCTTTCCAGATGTTTGAACTTGAGATAAAATCTGGAAGTGTATCTTTCTGGGGCTCGGTCAGGGTCTCTACTTTCATTCAAAGTTTCTCCGAAGACTTCCTTTGCCAAGGAAATCCTTCCACAAACCAAAATCCGGGGAACTCTCCGGAACTTGGCATCTGCTTGGCCCTCTCTGCCCAAGGTACAGGATCCTCTGTAACCCACAGTAATAAAACCCCACTTGCGGTCATGCGGGAGCAGTGAAGAAGGGGGGCAGATTCTTGTGTCGCTTCCTTGGGAGGCATCTTCAAAGTCACTGTGGCAGAACTCATCAGGGCTTTGCTTGACTTCCTCTGGAGCCAGGAGTTTCACGAGGTCAGGGAGCTGGAAATACTCAGCTTCTCTTTTCAGCCTCCCCCTTTCTGGAAAGTGATCAGGCAGGACCACCTGCCTGTCCCTGAGATAGTCTAGAATATAACGGAACAGAAATCCATCTCTGTCGATGAAAAACCTTCCCTTGGAGTCCTTGGCTAGATCATTAGCAGTGTCTCTCTTTGGGGAAAACATTTTCCACAAAAGAGAATGGGGGATGCTTATTAATGTGGAATGGCGAGTGAAGTAAACCTGGCCCCCGACATTCAGCTCTATGACTTCCGGGAAAGAGTTGGGAACCGCAGCCCCTTGATCCCGAGGATAATAACGACTACAGTTCCCACTCAGAGCCATTGTCCCTTTCTTCAGCAGCTTCCTGCAATTAAAGGTGTAATCCAATGGAGTTTCAGCTTAGACTTTGCATCCACTTGTAAGGGGTGGGGGAGGTCCTACCTTGTTTAAAGAAAAAAAAAATACCTCCTTTTATCCTGGTTTTCGTTTTATTCCCCCAGAGAGGCAAATTTTAGTAGAGTTCACAGGTGAAGTAACACTGGACAAGAAGTTTAAAGCTGGCTGGTAGTTAGCTCAGACTTCACAGAATGTAATAATCAGCTTGTCTACATTCGGTCTTCCTTTTGGCCAGGTAGGCAAGAAGGCCAGTTACTCAGAGGTCTGTCTAAGGGAAAAGAGAAAAAATTATTTCCTCAGACCCAGAATGAGTCAGAGAAGAAGAAACCTCTGGGGAGAGTAGAGAGGGAGAGAGGCAGAGATTGGGAGGGGAAATGGCAGGGAGGAGAGGAGATTATTTTTACATAAGCAGCCTGCAACCGCTGGCTGACTTTAATCACTCCTTAACTGAGTTAGTTCCTCTGTCGGACCGAATTGAGTCTTTAAGTTTATCCAGACGCCACTGTCTCCAGCAACTGCTGTTCAAATGGCCCCCGTTCGTAAAGCGGATGTAAAAGGCATATGCAATTTTCAACTTCCAAAGAGACGCGTTTGGCAGCAGGACAGAGACAGGAACCTCTGCGCTTACCTTACCGAGTGCTGGAGACTCAGCTCTTGCGAAGAAAATAACGTTTTTCAGAGCAACCAGAAACCACGACCGCACTGAGCCTGGATGTCGAATCCCAAACACGGAAAGGACAGAGGTATCAATGAAAAGTGCCAGAGAGATGTGCTCTCGGCAAACGGTTCCGCACTTACGCGCTCGCAGATGCACGGTGCTATGTGTGTGTCTGTCTGTGTGTACGAATTCACTTCCAATCTCTAGTTGAAATGGATTGAGGAAAAAAAAAAAGTTGAACCAAGAGAAGAGGCTGAGTCGAAGAAGTGAAGCAGAGATGAAAAAAAAAAAAAATCAACCAAAGCTTCGTCAAGGAAAAAGAGAAAACCCGAAATCCAAACCCTTGGAACAGATCCTTTACACCTGGGAGAGGTGACTGGACTTAAAGGCTTTCAGAGAGCCCAGGGACAGACAGACAGACAGATGCGCCCCGCCAGGGTCGTAGCAGCCACCCCTCCTGCCGGCAAGGGCAAAGGGACTCCCATGTCCCCGCCAGGTGGGAAAGAGAAGGGGCCGGGGCGGCGAGAAGATGCCTGCGGGGCTCGGGCTCCAGAGCTGGGAGGTCCCACGGTGCCAGGAGCAGTTCGGATGCTGCTGTGTGAGCAGTGCAGGCAAGAAACCATCCAGGGAAATGACTATTACATCATCTTAAAGGAATAGGGCTTGGAAAGAGCGGAGGCAGCTCCGAGTCACGTCCTCGGCGGTGACAGGTTGCCAGCGCCGACGGGACGTGCGCCCGCGGCGGGCACGGGACCAGAGGCGCTGGCTGGCTGCGGGCGCAGGGCGGGGACGCCGCGCGGCACGCGCCCCCGGCCGGCCTGTGATCTGGAGTTTGCACAAGCTTCCTCTCTGCTCTGCCTTCCTTATTTTCACCTCCACCGCACCCCCACCCCACCCCACCCCCATCAATTACCCTCCCCCCTGGCAGTGATTTTCATCTGAAAAGCCTCCGGACGAACTCTCCCAATGCATGACTCTGCAGAAGGGCGCCTTTCTCCCTCGAAACCATTTTCTTTTTCATCCTACGAAATTTTCAAGTTACAAGTGTTTGGGTTTTGTTTCCCCCCCCCCCTTTTCATTACAGTCATATTCACTCAAATTCCCTTTCCTCTTGGTGCCTTCGGCCACACGCGCGCGCGTGCACACACACACACATACACACACACACACACACACACACACACACACACACACACACACAGGAGCAGGACTGAGCGTGCTCTCTCAAAATGATCATTAAAATATCCGTAAAGGCTAGGAGTTTCAGCGGGAAGTCGGGGTCTTGGCTTACCTGAAGGAAGCTGCTACCTGCAACCTGTTCTGAGGCTGCCTCCTCACTGAGGTTCTCTCAGATGTGCCTGCCCATCCCAACCCATCCCAGGAGTGCTGGGGGAAGACACTCCCGCTAAGAGACGTTTTACTCCCGTCCCAGAGGGCTCCCTTAAGTGCATCATTAAGAGTTTCAAGAAGGCATTTCCAGGGCAACCTAATACACTAACGAAGTGCTTCCAGCCGAGCCTGCCAGTCAATAATGGCCCAGCAAACCGCTTACAGTAAGTCTGCCATTTCCCCTAAAAATGCCGAAGTCCTGGGCTCACAACTCTGCTAAGAACTCACTTATTCATCGATGTGTACCGCAGGGGAGGTATACACCATCCTAAACAACGGATCGTTTAAAATCTGAGGATCAGAACTGGAGGAGAACATATAAATTGAACACATGTGAAGAGATTCGTGTGTTTAGTGCCAACTTCTGCCCCATGAATTAGCTTGGAGATCTTTCAACAGCAAACTCAATTTGTGTGCTGTTGTGTGTTTGTGTGTGTTTAACAGTCATGTCTTTCCGTAACATTGGGTTACTGAACACTTTCAGAGGATTAGCTCACTTTCCAACACCAGATTATATTTGACTGCTGCTTTAACTAACGCATTAACATGTTCTCTGGCCTCCGATGCCTTGATTCTAAAGCTGGACCAATTAAGGAAACTTTTATGATATGATGCGCTTATACTGCCATCTAGTGGCCGAAACTACCAGTACAATTCTGCATCTGGAAATTTAGCTGAGCTAAAAATGTTCCCTAGTTTGAAGTTTTTACAGTGTACCGAATTTACTTTGTAGTCGTTGTTCATCATGACAATAAAGGAGACATTTCACTCCCACTAAGCCAGGGTAAGGGGTGCATGTGATTCTATGCTGCCGTAATTTCTGCTTTGGATGTGTAAGGAAGCAGATGTAGCTTGGCTTTTGTGCTACTGTTGATGTTGAGACAGGTTCTCATGTAGCCCACGATGACTTCAAACTTGTTATGTATCCAAGGTTAACTTTTACTCCATAAGTCTCCTTCCTGTTCTTCCAGGAGCTGAGATTACAGGCACCACCACACCTAACCAGTGTGTGTGTGTGTGTGTGTGTGTGTGTGTGTGTGTGTGTTTGTGCGTGCGCGTGTCCATCACATGTAGACAAGCAAAAACTCTGCCTCTGAGATACATCCTCATTTTAAGTCTCTGTGATTTAATTTTTAAAAGTGGATCAGTACATTTGACCATTGCTTCAGAACTCAAGTGTTAAATATCCTCTCCATTACGTATTCTAGACTAGGGGTAGAGAAGAGAGCTGATAAGAAAATAAGAATTTCGAGATTATTATACATCTTAATGACCAAGTCGTTTTAAAGCGTTTCTAATATTAACTTAAATTGCAAAGCTAAAAGACTACAATTTCAAAGAGAAATGTTCTAAATTCAAAATTAAGAATTCTGGCCTTGTGTGGTGGCACACACATTTAATCTCAGCACTTGGGAAGCAAAGACAAGTAGTTCTCTGTGAGTTCCAGGCCAGCCTGATCTACATAGTGAGTTCCAGGTCATCCAGAGATACAGAGTGAGACATTGTCTCAAAATGACAAACAGAAAGAGAGAGAGAGAGAGAGAGAGAGAGATCTGCTAATTGGTCTTTTTCTTTTTCGTATTTTATGTTATTTTCAGGTCAACCATTCCTTTGAAAATGATAATTATTGTTAATTATACACATTGGTGGTTCTATATATAGTTCTGTGTGTGCACTTGGCTCTTTACCTTCCCAACCTTCTTCTTAACCATTCCTCTTCCTCCCCTTCCCCAGGTCTTCCATCCCAGTCCTTCTATTTCTTTACAGGTCATCTTTTTTAATTTTTTTTTTACCTTTTTTATTCTAGGCTCCACATATAGTATAAAACACAATACATTTCTTTCTTAGTTCACTTAACCTCTAGTTCCATTCTTTCTTTAGCAAATAACACATTACTAATCTTTAGAGCTAGGTAAAACTCCAGTGTGGGGTTATGTGTGCACGTGTGTTCAATATTTTTTTATCCATTCCTGTGTTGGTAGACACCCAGGCTGATTTCATCACCTGACTGCTGTGAACAGCATGGCAATGAAAATGGATGTATCACTGTCTACTGAGTGTGGGTAAGACTCCATCTGGTAGACGCCCAGGAGTGGTACTGCTGTATCAAAGTGCAGTTCTATTTTAGTTTCATAGGGAACCTCTCCGCGTTCTGTAAAGCCTAAATTGATTCGCATTCCGGCCAACAGTCCATCACTGTTCCTTTTTCTCTGCGTCCTCACCAACACTTCTCATTTGTCTGTTGGTTACAGCTGTCTGCCTGGAGTGAGGAAAAGTCTCGGAATCATTTTGATTTTGGTAAATTGCTGGCCAGATGTAGTCCTCTTGAGAAATGTCTGTTCAGATGATTTGCTCATTCATTGATTGGATAAGTTGTTCTTTTGTGGTTAGGGACTTTGAGTTCTTTATATATTCAGCATGTTAGTCACCTGCCAGGTAAAAGGCTGGCAGATACTGCTCTCCCATCCTCTAAGCAGGAACAAGAAGTTCCTAACTGACTTGGAGAGTGGGGTGATGACACTTAGTTAATTAATACCAATGTAAAAAAAAATGCTTTTGACATCTAGACAAGGCTTCTCAGGAAGGGTTGAGGAAAATTAAAAAAAAAAAAAAAGGAGGCAGTAATTCATATGTCCTAACATTCCCATTATTATCGCAACAGTCCATTTTAAAATGAAGTTGTACTTGCAGCCCTCAGAGACATGTTCTGAGGATTGAAAATCAAAACATTCAGCAGTCCACCTGATCTCCAGAGCTATGATTTCTCCATACCACAGAAAAATGGTGTCAATTTTTACCACCACGACCATTCTGCATTTGCACTGTTTCATTATGGTTCTGTGCTGAATGAACCCCCTTACTATAATAAATGGCTAGCAATTGCCAGTTGCTTTTCTAGTTCTCTTTGGTAATATCTACAATCTAATCCACCTTGAACCTTGAGAAATCAGGATAATCTGAGCTTCTGTCCAACTTTAGACCGTGGTGGTCAGATAGGATACATGGGATTATACATTCA